AATGAATGGACAGATCCAGACTTATAAAAGCTAAAATCCAATTGGAGGAAGAAGAAGAAAAAGAAGATACAGCTAAGACGGAAGAAGATAACTTGTTGAAGTGTTCTTACTGAAGGAACATTGGTTTTAAAGATTTTGCCTATGGGAGGGGGGAGCAAAGCATAAAAGGAGATGCCAATTTTTCTTAAGGGCTGTGTCCAGGTGTGTTTTAGTTTTGGAATTACTTTCTGCCTAGTCTGATAAGCTGGTTTTGACAAGACTTGGGGGACCATGTGATCGGGCTACCGCGCTTTATTTTGCTCCGGGGTGAACAGCCACGCCTCCCCCCCCGCGTTATCTGGCCCGTGTGACCGGGGCCTAAGTAGACAATACTGATCTTGATGGATTAAAGGTCTGATTCAGTATAAGGCAGCTCCATGCGTGTACAAAACATTTACCTGTACTGGATATAATCAGAACATTCTACACACAACATTTATATGCTCCTGGTTGGCACTAATTACAATGGGTACATGTTGAGAGACAGTTATCTGAAAGGCCACCTGATGAAACACTGTGCAACATGCACAGGGATCTTTGAATGGAACATAGTAAAATTTCTTTTCCCGCCACACCATTTTTTCCTCTTCTCCTTTGACGCTGCATTGGCATAAATAACCACCCCATCTCATGGGAAGAGTCCCAAATTCTTGGCGAGTTCAACCCTACCACCTAAGGAAGTGTTTTCGGTTCCCCACTGAAGGAACAGCAAGAGTATAAAAACAAAGGTGATAGCATGCACAATATGCTCTCCGATTAAAATATCAAACAAACAACAGAAGTTGATTCATTAGAACAGACGTTCTTCTCTTTGTGTTACATACTTTATTACACTGAAGTAAGAGACGGATCTAAGATTACTGTTCCTTTTTGCTGATTGCAGAAAAGAATTTTAGGGAATGTTTTTTACCTATTACCCAAGAGATAATAAGCAGCTCCATCCAGGAGAAGCAGGATGTTTTCATCCTGAACAGCTGTGTTTCATTATCTGTCCTAGATTCATTAGGCTTTATTTTGGTGCCATCAAATCTGTCCGCTGCATTCATGACCAGCAGCCCCAGGAAAATGGTGAAAGAGGCGGCGTGTGCCACAAACTTCATGAACGGTCCACGCATTATCCTGCCCAACTGCAAAGTATATAAGAGAAGACCAAAAACAGATATCAATTTATTTTAATGTTAAGGAGACTGCCTGCAAAAGCAAACAAACATAAAACTAGAACAAAAACCAACGATCAAATACCCTACAGGAATACAAGGGAATGTACTGTGTAAACATACATTTCTCTAGTCATACAATTTTAAACAATCCTTTAGATGTCATCTGTAACTACTTACCACTTGTCTGTTGCTCAAATCATCCAGGTACTTAAGAGATATAACTATCTAAGGAATTGGCAAATGGAAATATTAGGCATTGCTGGCTGCTCCACATTTTGCTCCACCCTCCCCTCACTCAAAAAAATTGGGAGCAGAATTTTGCGGGGGGGGGGGGGGGCTTCTGCATTACAACATTATGTGGTTGTCCACTATTATTCTGTAGGAGAAATAGCTAACAATAAGCAAAGTGTTTTAATTCCGGATTTTTTAAAAAAAATCCCTGAAACTTTCTTAATGATTCTTGAGATCCTATCTCAAATGTAATCCATTACAAAAACACAACCAGATAGATCCAGATGGTCAGCCATGTTGGTTTGAAGCAGCAAGAACAATGTTTGAGTCCAGTAGCACCTTTAAGACCAAAGAAGTTTTATTTGAGGTATAAGCTTTTGTTGAGTATGCACACTGTATCTGAAGACGTATGCTTGCACACGAAAGCTTATACCTTGAATAAAACTTTACTGGTCTTATAGGTGCCACTGAACTAAAACTTTGTTCTAAAACATGACCGGAGTCATGATAACATGAATGTGACATGTTGATTTTACTGAAGTTTATAAACATGCTACGTAGGATGATCCATAAATACTTAAGTCTCATCAACGTCTTGAATTTTACTCTGTGGTAAAATAATTTATATGGTTTCATTAATGCAGTATCCATTCCTGATCACATTTAGTCTGCTATGCAGAGGGAGGCAAGATGAAATTTTAAACAAACATACTTCTAAACATATCAGGAACAGAAATATGGAAATAAGCTACTTTTCCCTCTTCTGGAAGACCCAATGGGCATCCAAGGTACTATCAGCTGTTCCTGTTCACCCCCTGGTTGCATCCTGCATGGGTTCCGAAATGGGGAGATTTCCAGATGGCACTGCAGAGTCCTCCTTCCTGCTGCTGAGATATACTTTCTCCTATAGCTGCCAACTTTTAAACTGGTCCCTCTAGTTGTCCTTTTAATATCAGTTTGATCTGCAGCTATTATCAGGTGGTATTATGAAACTCCATGGCAGGAACAGCTGCAACTGTCAATTTCTACTTATTGAGCCCATACTAAAGAGACAGGCCTTTTCTCTCCCTGGCCGGCTGGCAAACTTAACAGTGAAACAAACGTGCCCTATTGACCTTCATGGAAGAGAGTTAAATTACACTGAAAAAGAGCCCTGTATGGAATATCATGCACAATTATTGGGTAGTCTACAATCAGCGTTAACATTCATTAGACCCTTTTCCTCAAATAATGTAAAGTAATGAAATCCATAGAAATACCTGCTACATTGTTTTTATGTTTTGTTTAGTATTATTCCAATAAAAATAATTTCCACATAGAAGAAGAAGAGGAGGAGGAGGAGATTGGATTTATACCCCGCCCTTCACTCCGAGTCTCAGAGCAGCTTACAAGCTCCTTTCCCTTCCCCTCCCCACAACAGACACCCTGTGAGGTAGGTGGGGCTGAGAGAGCTCTTTCCAGAGCTGTCCTTGAGAGAACAGCTATGACAGAACTATGGCTTGCTCAAGGTCATCCTGCAGCTGCAAGTGGAGGACTGGGGAACCAAACCTAGTTCTCTCAGATTAGAGCCCGCGCACTTAACCACTACACCAAAGTGGCTTTCAATGTATTTGTTGGTGGAAAGTGCCACCAAGTCACAGCCGACTATGGTAACCCCATAGGGTTTTCAAGGCTAGAGACATTCAGAGGTGTTCGCCCATTGCCTCTCTCTATTTATTTACTTAAAATATTTATATTTTGCCTTTCTGCTATACACTCACTTGCGTACTAAATGCACTTCAAAACAAACATGCTAAATCACATCACGTTCTGTTTTAGGCATCGGAAATTTTTCCGATTCAAATTCCAATTTCCAAATCAATTTTGAATATAATCCAATAATCATTCAGATGAATATGCACAATTGAACTGTACAAATAAGCAACATATACAAATGAGGAAAGTATTCAGAAGTTTTGCAAATGTCCATAATTACAAAATGATAAGGTCAGGGCTTGTGTCTTTGTAGGTATGTGGGGAGGGGGGAAATGGAAATTTTTGTCCGAATCCAAAATACCCCTTAGGGGTTGAGGAGACCAATACCACCACCTCCCTCAGTTTTTCTTCCCTCCTCCTTTTAACCAGCCCTCCACTGCCCTCAACATTCCAAGGATAATGAGCATTTTCGGTTCTCACTGGCCATTGCAGGGGCATCTTTTTAACTTTACCAATATTTATCTGCATACTTTGGGAATCCCCCGAGTATGCAAAAACCCAGGCTTTGCTTGCATTGGTCTTCTTCCACTGCCTTTTTAACAGGCCCTCCACCATCATGTTTGCCATTAGAGAGAACAAATTGGGAGCCCTTTTTTCATGGAAAGGAGGGAGTACATGATTTGGAAATTTACTCTTCCCTTTCACACACCCAGATCTCCTCTGGGATTCTGTGAACTCTCAAGTCCTTAAGCAAGCCAATCCTTCTTTTATGTGGGTGGCCTGATTTTTCTGGTTTTGTGATCATCAGGAGTGTGATATATGTGTATGAGTGATTTCATCAAAATGATTTCTTTGTTGCTGTAAGGTTGGCCAATTCATCAATGTGTTCTGAGTGTTCTTAATCTTGAGCAGACTTATAGCAAACCCTACAGCTTTCGACTCTGTTTCCCCCCCAGACATTAAGAGCTACTGTGCCTTACTGATACCTCCAACAGATGCCTCCAAACATATGCTTCATGAAAATAAGAAATTCTTCCCTGCACATTTTCATAACTCCAACAGCAACGGGAGATGAAAGAAACCTTCTTAAGAACATAAGAGACGCCAATGTTGGATCAGGCCAAAGGCCCATCCAGTCCAACACTCTGTCACACAGTGGCCACAAATATCAGGTGCCATCAGGAGGTCCAGCAGTGGGGCCAGGACATTAAAAGCCCTCCCACTGTTGACCCCCCCAAGCACCAAGAAGACAGAGCATCACTTGCCCCAGAGCCCCTAATCTATACCTTGTGGCTAATATCCACTGATGGACCTCTGCTCCATATGCTTATCTAATTCCCTTTTGAAGCCGTCCATGCTTGTAGCCGCCACCACTTCCTGTGGCAGTGAATTCCATGTGTTAATCACTCTTTGGGTGAAGAAGTACTTCCTTTTATCCGTTCTAACCCGACCGCTCAGCAATTTCATGGAGGGCCCACGAGTTCTTGTATTGTGAGAAAGGGAGAAAAGTACCTCTTTCTCTACCTGCTCTTTCCCATGCATAATCTTATAAACCTCAATCATGTCACCCCTCAGTCGTCGTTTCTCCAAGCTAAAGAGCCCTAAGCGCCTTAACCGTTCCTCATAGGGAAAGTGTTCCAACCCTTTTATCATTCGAGTTGCCCTTTTCTGCACTTTTTCCAAAGCTATAATATCCTTTTTAAGGTGTGGTGACCAGAACTGCACACAGTATTCCAAATGAGGTCTCACCATTGATTTATATAGGGGCATTATTATATTGGCTGATCTGTTTTCAATACCCTTCCTAATAATCCCCAGCATAGCATTGGCCTTCTTTATTGCAGTCACACACTGTCTCGACATTTTCAGTGAGTTATCCACTACAACTCCAAGATCTCTCTCTTGATCAGTCTCTGCCAGTTCAGACCCCATCAACGTGTATTTATAGTTAGGATTTTTGGCTCCAATGTGCATCACCTTGCACTTGGCCACATTGAACCCCATTTGCCATGTTGACGCCCACTCGCCCAAAATTGACAGATCCCTTTGGAGTGCCTCACAATCCTCACTGGTTTTCACCACCCTGAACAACTTTGTATCATCCGCAAATTTAGCCACTTCACTGCTTACTCCCATCTCCAAATCATTAATGAACAAGTTAAAAAGCAGTGGACCAAGTACTGATCCCTGCGGTACCCCACTGCTTACCACCCTCCACTGAGAAAATTGCCCACCTACACTCACTCTCTGTTTTCTATGAACTAGCCAGTTTTTGATCCATAAAAGGACTTGTCCTTCTATCCCATGATTTTTGAGCTTACTTAGGAGCCTTTGATGAGGAACTTTATCAAAAGCTTTCTGGAAGTCAAGGTAAATAATATCTATTGGATCCCCCTTGTCCACATGTTTGTTCACCCCCTCAAAGAACACTAACAGGTTAGTGAGACAAGATCTTCCCTTACAGAAACCGTGCTGAGTCTGCCTCAATAGGTTTTGTTCATCTATGTGCCTACTAATTCTTTCCTTAATAATGGTTTCCACCAATTTACCCGGTATCGACGTCAGACTGACTGGCCTGTAATTTCCCGGATCTCCTCTGGAACCCTTTTTAAAGATGGGAGTGACATTAGCTACCTTCCAATCCTCAGGAATGGAGGCAGATTTTAAGGAAAGATTACATATCTTTGTCAGGAGATCTACAAGTTCACATTTGAGTTCTTTCAGAACTCTCGGATGTATGCCATCTGGGCCTGGTGATTTTTCAGTTTTTAAGTTGTCTATCAGTTTTAGGACCTCCTCTCTCATCACCTCAATCTGACTCAGGTCTTCCAACACCCCTCCTGAAATCAGTGGTTCTGGAGTGGGCAAGCACTTCTCATCTTCCACAGTGAAGACGGAGGCAAAAAATGCATTTAGCTTCTCAGCCATTTCCCTATCATCCTTCAATACTCCTTTTACCCCTTGGTCGTCCAAGGGCCCCACTGCCTCCCTGGCTGGTTTCCTGTTTCTAATGTATTTGAAGAAAGTTTTATTGTTGGTTT